TAATGTTATAATTAAAAAATAGAGGATATTCAAATTTTTTTTCTAAAAATTTACAGGATTTATTTTCATGAGGGGTTAAAAAGTAAATATTTCAAGGGGGTGACAGAACCCACAAGTAAAATAGGGATTTTGGGGCTAAATTTTGGGAAAAAGTATCCAAAAAAGAAGCAGTGAAAATAGGGAAAAAAATTTTTCACCGCAGTAAAAAATTTAAAATTCCCATATATTTAAAAATACGGTAAATAAAAAAAACAAAAATTTCTTCATAAAATATTTCTAATATTTCATAAATACGTAAAATAAAAAACCCATTTTTTTTTAACATCAAAATATAAACCCGAATGTAAACCCATTTTACAAATGCCCTGTACGGGTTTAAATAGAAGAACGGTATTTTTCCAATTTAAGTAATAATTTTAAAGGTTACTAATCTTCCTTTATCCTTTGAAAAAAAAAACTCGGCCCGACTAGATTTTTACAGTTTGATAGAAAATTCCCGCCAAATATCTTGCCCTGTGTTTTGTCCATTTTTAAATTTTGGGAAATCGATAAACAAGCCTTTCTTCCCTTTGGAAAATTACATAAACATTTTTTTCCTTTTTTGGGTTTTTTTTTTAAAAACCGTAAAAGAACTGTTTTATGAGAAAAATTTTCTTTGGGAAATTTTAAAAATTACAAACTAAAAAATAGGGGGAATCTTTTGGGAAATTAAAAAATTAATTAAAAAGGATAGTTTTTTTGGGCCACCCCCTAAAAAAAAAAAAATTTTTTAAATTTATTCACAAAATTTTCCTGAAAAAATTATATTTTGTGATTTTTATATTCTTTAAAACATGCACCTATCTGAACAAAAAAAGACCAATAGGAGAAAATTTTACACCGGATAAAAAAAAATTTTGCCGACCCAAATTTTTATTATTTTCTTTTTGTTTTAAAACTTTACACCAAAGTATAGATAATATTTTTGGGGTGTTCACTGGTGGAGAAAGACCTTTAGGTTGCCTTTTAGGGCCCCGGGAAAGGGGCACCTAGACGTTTTCCCTAAGCTAGCACATGAGGGGTATTGTGATATTAGTTAAAAAGTAAGTAGTGGGATACCTCTTTTCAATCGTAGGGTAAATTTTCCCCTTTCCCCCCCGGAAAATTTTCAAAAGGGCAAACGTTTTTAAAGAAAGGGTTTCCTTAGCCGAGTGACGAGTTTTTAATTTTTTCTCCTGGTAAATTTTCGAGCGAGAAAAAGTTAATGAAAGGGTTTTTACTTTGCCCACGTCGGGGTTTTTACCTTGCCTCCCCGTTAAAAAAGAGCCCAGCTTTAAGCGAGCAAAGGTTTAGGGTTTTTTTTAGCCCAAACGTTCGGTTTTTCCCCTTTCCCCCGGTAAATTTACAAGCGAGCAAACAATTAATGAGGTCTACTTAGCCGAGTGTCAAAAGTTTTCATCTTGCCTCCCCCGGTAAATTTACAAGCGAGCAAACAGTTAATGAGGTCTTCTTTAGCCGAGTGTCGAGTTTTCATAGTTGCCTTTCCTGGTAAATTTACAAGTGAGCAAACAATTAATGACGGTCTACTTTAGCCGAGGTGGGTCAAGTTTTCATCTTGCATCCCGGTAAATTTACAAGCGAGCAAACAAGTTAATGAGGTCTACTTAGTGGAGTGTGAGTTTTCATCTTGCCCTCCGGTAAATTTACAAGCGAGCAAAAACAGTTAGTGAGTTTACCGAGGTTTACCTTAGCCGAGTGTCGAGTTTTCACCTTGCCTCCCGGTAAATTTACAAGTGAGCAAACAGTTAATGAAGGTGCTACTTTAGCCGAGCGTCGAGTTTTCATCTTGCCTCCCGAGTAAATTTCCAATGCGAGCAAACAGTTAGTGAGGTTTTACCTTAGCCGAGTGTCGAGTTTTCACCTTGCCTCCCCGGTAAATTTACAAGCGAGCAAACAGTTAATGAGGTTTGCCTTAGCCGAGTGACGAGTTTTCACCTTGCCTCCGCGGTAAATTTACGATGCGAACAAACAGTTATGAGGTTACCTTAGCCGAGCGTGCGAGTTTTCACCTTGCCTCCCGGTATATTTACGAGCAAGCAAAAACAGTTAATGAGGTCTCACTTTAGCGCGCGAGTGTCGAGTTCTCATCTTGCCTCCCGGTAATTTACAAGCGAGCAAACAGTTAAATGAGAGGTCTACCTTAGCCGAAAGTGACGAGTTTTCATCTTGCCTCCCGGTAAATTTACAAGCGAGCAAACAGTTAATGAGGTCTACTTTAGCCGAGCGTCGAGTTTTCATCTTGCCTCCTGGTAAATTTTACAAGCGAAGCAAACAGTTAATGAGGTTTGCCTTAGCCGAGTGACGAGTTTTTCACCTTGCCTCCCGGTAAATTTACGAGCGAACAAACAGTTAATGAGGTCCTACCTTAGCCGAGCGTCGAGTTTTCCCCTTGCCTCCCGGTAAATTTACGAGCAAGCAAACAGTTTAATGAGGTCTACCTTAGCCGAGCGTCGAGTTTTCACCTTGCCCGTCCCGGGTAAATTTCACAATTGAGCAAACAGTTAATGAGGTCTTCTTTAGCCGAGTGTCGAGTTTTCATCTTGCCTCCTGGTAAATTTACAAGCGAGCAAACAATTAATGAGGTCTACTTTAGCCGAGTGTCAAAAGTTTTCATCTTGCCTCCCGGTAAATTTACAAGCGAGCAAACAGTTAATGAGGTCTTCCTTTAGCCGAGTGTCGAGTTTTCATCTTGCCTCCTGGTAAATTTACGAGCGACTAAACAGTTAATGAGGCCTACCTTAGCCGAGCGTCGAGTTTTCACATTGCCTCCCGGTAAATTTACAATCAAGCAAACAGTTAATGAGGTCTACCTTAGCCGAGTGTCGAGTTTTCACCTTGCCTACCGGTAAATTTACAAGCGAGCAAACAGTTAATGAAGACCTTAGCCGAGTGACGAGTTTTCATCTTGCCTCCTGGTAAATTTACGAGCGAGCAAACAGTTAATGAGGTCTACTTTAGCCGAGTGTCGAGTTTTCACCTTGCTTCCCGGAAAATTTACAAACGAGCAAACAGTTAATGAGGTCTACTTTAGCGGAGTGTCGAGTTTTCATCTTGCCTCCGGGTAAATTTAGAAGCGATCAAACAGTTAATGAGGTTTGCCTTAGCCGAGTGACGAGTTTTCACTTTGCCTCTCGGTAAATTTACGAGCGAACAAACAGTTAGGGAGGTCTACCTTAGCCGACTGACGAGTTTTCACCTTGCCACCCGGTAAATTTACGAGCAAGCAAACAGTTAATGAGGTTTACCTTAGCAGAGTGTCGAGTTTTCACCTTGCCTCCCGGTAAATTTACAAGCGAGCAAACAGTTAATGAGGTCTACTTTAGCCGAGTGTCGAGTTTTCATCTTGCCTCCCGGTAAATTTAGAAGCGATCAAACAGTTAGTGAGGTTTGCCTTAGCCGAGTGACGAGTTTTCACCTTGCCTCTCGGTAAATTTACGAGCGAACAAACAGTTAGTGAGGTTTACCTTAACCGACAGACGAGTTTTCACCTTGCCTCCCGGTAAATTTACGAGCAAGCAAACAGTTAATGAGGTCTACCTTAGCCGAGTGTCGAGTTTTCAGATACTACTTGCTTGTTTTCCTTTCACTCATTTATTATGAAATGTCACAATGTCAGCCTTATATTTACTCAGTTAATAAAAACATCATAATTGTGGAAAACTCAGGACGACATGCAGAAAAAATAAATATAATCATTTCGTAAACAAATAATGGTAAACTTAACACATATAATGATATTATCTGGGACATTTATGGTTTATCATAAAGGCAACTTTAAATAAATGAACTAACCGACATCATAGCAGATAGCACGTTCCCCCTCCGTGCAGGGCCTTCGTTTAAATACAAGCTCATTAGAGTTTGATTTGTACACGGCCATACAATTTTCATTTGATGTTTCTGGAAAACAAAACATAAAATAAATAAGTAGACAAAAGCCAAATCAACAATCAAATGGGGTTTTTAACGGTCCCAAAAGGAATCTAAAATTTGGGTTCGTTTTTGCCCAAAAAACTAGGCCCAAAAGACCCAAAAAACTTTGTAAACAACCCCTTATTAAAAGACAAGGGTTCCAACCCTCCAAAAAAACCCAATTTTGGGCCCTTCCCTTTTCCTTTTTAAGAAGCAAAATTTCGTTCCTTTTTTTTAAAGGAAAATTTTTACATTTTTTATTGGACCAGGGTAGCATATTTAAGGGTTTTTCCCCAATAAATGTTTAGCAACTTTAATCGTGCATATATAGTAACATGCCGAACACAAACGTAGCCGAAAACTACTATTTTGCTTACTCACAACATTGTAAACAACGTATGTGGTTTATCCCGAAAAAAAAATACTTTGCAACAATGAACAAACGAAGCAAAGGCTTGTATTCAATAAAAAGACTATTTTGCAAAACATACATGTATGATTACCTGTAATTGTTTCGACAGACAACCATGTAAGTGTTTTTTCCCTTTAACTTGCTAATTTTTCTCCGAGAACGGCCGTTTGCTCCTCACGAGATTGAGGATAGAAGGTTCATACTACAAGAGATCTGATTGGTCGATACATCGGATGCTGGTGACAAGTAAATGGCAAATAACTAGAGTTTGGAAAGTGATATTTCGGTGAAACTTGGCGTATAATAACATTTTGTGAAGATCTCCTTGGGATCATAGGATTGAGGTCAAGGTTATTGTTACTAAAATAGAAAATCGATTTCTGGTCAATAAGTAGTGTTTTAATGAATTTGCTTTGAATTAAGCTTATGTGAAGACCTTACTTAAGATAGCTTTTGGTCCACCTTAACGGTCAACGTTACTGTTACTTAAAATCGGTTCCCAGTATGGAATAAGATACTTTTATTATCCCCCTATGACCAAGGTCAAGACAATTATAATTTTCCCATCAGCATTTGTTATTACAAAATACTTATTCATTTTTTGATATTCCAAAACCTGGTTTCGTGGCATTGTCATGTTTCTTAAAAAAAAACAACAAAAAAAAAACATTGTCCGGTAGTTAAATGGTTGGATTTGTTTTGAAAGATAATCTGTGTATTATGTTTCCTTTTTATGTGTGACATATAATACGTCACTAGTATTCCAAAGCGTAGGTAAATGCAACTGACATTTATCAAACAAGAGGGCCATGATGGCCCTGAAGTCGCTCACCTGTATATAGGCCCCCGGAGCGGGGCCAGTTTAAACCCCAGGGCTTTTATTTGAACAAACTTGGTAGACACCAATTAGAAGATGTTTCATGCTAAACATCTAAGGTCTAGATCGTTGGTTTTTTTAAAAGCAGATTTTTTTTAAAGTTTAATTTTTCTTTACACATATAGTTAAAAACAATGACCCCCTGGGGCAGGGCCAGTTTTGACCCCAGCGCTTTTTATTTGAACAATCTTTGTAGACACTTACTAGAAAATGTTTCATGCTTAATATCTAAACTCTAGCTATTCATGTTTTTTAGAAGAAGATTTTTAAGTTTTTGCTATACACATATAAGGAAAATCAATGTCCTCCGGGCCGGGGCCAATTTTGACCCCAGGGCTTTTATTTGAACAAACTTTGTAGACACTCACTAGAAGATGTTTCATGCTTAAATATCTAAACTCTAGCTATTTGGTTTTCTTCAAAGAAGACTTTTTAAGTTTTTGCTATACACATATAAGGAAAATCAATGACCCCCGGGGCGTGGCCAATTTTGACCCCAGGGCTCTTATTTGAACAAACTTGGTAGACATCCATTAGAACATGTTTTAATGCTAAAATATCTTAGCTCTAGCTCTTTGGGTTCTTTAAAAGAAGATTTTAAAGTTTTTTACTATATGCATATAGGGAAAATCAATGACCCCCTGGGGCGGGGCCAATTTTTGACCCCAGGGCTTTTATTTGAACAAACTTGGTAGACATCCATTAGAAGATGTTCCATGCTAAAATATCTTAGCTCTAGCTCTTTGGGTTCTTTAAAAGAAGATTTTTTTAAGTTTTTACTATATGCATATAGGGAAAATCAATGACACCCTAGGGCGGGGCCAATTTTGACCCCAGGGCTTTTATTTGAACAAACTTGGTAGACATCCATTAGAACATGTTTCATGCTAAATATCTTAGCTCTAGCTCTTTGGGTTCTTTAAAAGAAGAGTTTTTAAGTTTTTACTATATGCATATAGGGAAAATCAATGACCCCCTGGGGCGGGGCCAATTTTGACCCCAGGGCTTTTATTTGAACAAACTTGGTAGAAACTCACTAGAAGATGTTTCATGCCAAATATCTAAGCTCTAGCTCTTTTCGTTTTTTAGAAGAAGATATTTAAAGTTTTTTCTTTCGGTTGCCATGGCAACCAGAGTTCTGCATGAAATTAAATTCTTTGAACAATTTTTAAAGGTGACCACCAAAGGAACATTCCTGTGAAGTTTGGATGAAATTGGCTTGGTGGTTTATGAGGAGATGTCATTTAAAGTAAAAGTTTACGGACGGACGACGGACGAAAAGCGATCACAAAAGCTCACCCTGTCACTTTGTGACAGGTGAGCTAATGAATATATATATATTATCTCATGCGCACCACTTGTATCTCGTGGCCACGACATAGTAACTCATAACCAAGACATAGTACCTCGTGCGCACCACTTAATTGTCTCGTGGCCACGACTTAGTAACTCGTGGCCACGACATAGTAAGTCGTGGCCACGACATAGTATCTCGTGCACGCACGAGATGGATAGAAACGCACAAATGTCACCTTTGTGCCACCGTACAATACAGAATTATTAATGAATAATTCATAAGTAAATCTTACAGTAGAAACTTCTATTGTTCTAATAAACAAGTATAGAGAGAGATATCTTACCTTTATGAAAACATGGTGGTACATCGCAAAACTCAGTCTCGTTCTGATTAACATAACACCAAAGAGCTTCGGAACCATTTGGGTTCCTACAAAAATTGGATGCATTCTGTGCCGACCCGTCCGGAAATACCGTAGTATTATCGTGAATTATTGCAGTGATGTTATTCCATGGCAAACAGGTGTTACCTTCCTTTGTTCTCGATACAGTCCCTTGCCAAGCACTTGAATTTGTGTAGCATATATCTGTAGGGAAAGTTTTAAAGTTTTAAATGGAGAAGGGGGAATAAATCGATCAACAAAAATAGATAGATCTAATATAATGATGGTGATGATGATGTTGTTGTTGTTGTTGGTGGTGGTGATGACAATAATAATTATAATGATGACCTATAAATTAACCATTTGACTACTGTAAGGAATATTTTGAACTAACCGTTCATGTATATAGTAAGGCTCAGATTCCCGCCACATCTCTCTTCGTAATTGCCAGAACAAGAAATTGTACAATAATGATCCATAATGACAGGGGAGCCAGCGTAACTCTCAATACAGAAGCACTTGTCGCTCTGAAATTTAACTCACAAAATAATCACATGGTTAGACTTTATTCTTCACATGAAACAAAACACACATCTGTATCAAGCTCTTTCATGTAATTTAAAATGATTATTTCTTTATAATGCCATAGACAAAGTCAAAACTTATATCAAACTGTAAGTTTATATTCATAAAAACCACAACGTTTTAGAAATTGCATATAAAAATAACAAACTTAAGAATGACTTATTTAAAAATGATTTAACATCACTTCCGCATGACTGTCTTGTTCTACATCTTGCCAGTATATTGCCATTTACAGACACGACAAATGAGCCGCGTCACGACAAAACCAACATAATGGGTTTGCGACCAGCATGGATCCAGACCAGCCTGCGCATCCGCGCAGTCTGATCAGGATCCATGCTGTTCACTTACCAACTCTATTACAAGTAGAGAAACTGATAGCGAACAGCATGAATCCTGATCAGACTGCGCGGATGCTGGTCGCAAACCCATTATGTTGGTTTTGTCGTGACGAGGCTCAAATTTTATTATACAAAATAAAAACACATACCTGAAGCCCGAAATAATTCCATTTTGAACAAAGTCTCTGACATTCTGCCATCGAATTGTTCTTTACAATTACATATGTTTCAAAATCGTCAAGGTTTGCAAAAGAAAAACATCCTGAAATGAATTGATTGTTTCCTACAACACGCATTGTATTATATTTTGTTTGCTTCAATGCCTAATGTGTTCAACTAAATTACAGGACTGTGTTTATTATCACCACCAAACATGGATATCTTGTATAATTGTTTCGATAAGTAATATTTATTATGTTCATTTATGTTTATTGTTAGTTGATATTCAATAAGGGGGAAGGGTATGCGTCCTTCATAACTCAGTGCACAGAGGCCCATACCATATCCTTCAGACACCCCTTCAGAGAATTTACATTTTACAACTTCCAAAACAGTGAATATTATATTCAAATGATGGTATTCACAGGACATTTTATTGCTTAACGCAAACTGCTTAGTAACGACAATAACAGATATCAGACGATAATTACGTTCACCTTGTTCGAGCTATATTACCGTCTGAATGACAATGTCACAATATTTAGTTGAACTAACCTTTAAGCCACACCCACGGTGTTATATATTGATTCTTCGCCTGCCATATTGACGTAACGTGGCGTTCTTGCATCATATCGACAATTTTGTCCTGGTATTCCGCAATGTCTTTTACTAAGCTACCACCTTGTCGTCTGCATATTCCGTGAGCCTCGTGCACAGAAACAAATTCTGAGTGCCATGTTAGGATACTTTTCACTACAATTTAAGAAAATCAAATATTTTACACATCGAACTTAGTAAAGGAGCTACTTTCCTCATCAACATAAAGAAAATAACTTATTTGTATTACGTCATTAGGACAAAACAAACTATTTTTCTCTTCAACATTAGGAAAGTAACATAACGCCATTCGAAAAATCAAAGTGCTGCAGCACTGAATGCGACGGACATGCAACCGGAGAGACATTTAGGCTTTTTTTTAGAAAAAAAAAACAACAAAAAAAATAAAACACAAAATATATAACAGAGAAAATTTGTTCCATACAAGTTCGAGATTTTTAGAGCAATATATTTTGTGTCCCAATCTGATATAATTCAGATTTTCTACTTTCAAGCATTTAAATACAGAATGAAATTTATGCCTAAAAACTCTGGTCAAACTTGTAAATCAGTGTCCTTATCGATTTATTCCAAGAAATGATATGTAAATAGAAAAAAACTGTCAACGAAATATTTCTAAAATAAAACCATGCAAATAATCTTCAAGCATAATATATTATACATGTGAGAATGTTATTTAGAATTGCTTTGTGTTATAACATAGTGGGCATATAGACAATAAAATATAAGTCATTTGTATTTTTATTTCTCTTGGATATGTCTCATTAAAAATATTTTTGGTTAAAATCATCAGCAATTAATAGTGTATTTTTTAAGATTTTTTTTATTTACAAGGGCCAGCTAGAGCACATCGTTTTTATTTTAATTTAAATGTCACTTAAGCACTACGGTGTTTAGTTGTCTTTTCATTTTCACACTAAATTCCATTTTCAACTTGTTTGCTTCTTGCTTCTTACAATTGTATAGAATTTCTAAAAAAAGTATTTCATGGCATGTAAACAAAGTAAGTATCCGCTGGTTTATTACATGCACTAATCGCCTGTCCGAAAATCAGCACAGGTGCAGCAGAATCTATTTTTAGAATAGCGAAGGTTAACTCATATCGTGACCTAGAAAAATATGTAAACAAACCACAAGAATCGGAAGTAGAACTGATATTATAACTTCCTTCAATAAAGATTACAATGAAAGACTACATGGTGGTAAAGTGTTGAAAACCCCTCTTGTTACATGCATTTTCAAAAATAGATATTTATACTAACCATTGTACTGTGTCTAATTTATTAATAACTGCTGAATATTCAGCTAAACCCGCAGTATGAGTCACGAAATTAGTTCTTCTTTTATTAATGCGCGAGTAATTCTAGAGTCACGAAAAACTTTTGATTTGTTAATAATAATGTTTTGTATAATGTAGAAATATTTATTTCCTACTAATAATTTCTTGGAACTCAGAGCTTACACCTTTATTATAGTATAATTTGCTGTCCTACTTTTTCGACAGCGGTAAATCGTTTCGGCAGTAATTTGCATATTGCGCAATAATACTACGGGACTACAACGTTTTTATCAATCATTTACGTTCATATTTTAACTTGGATAACTTAAATTGAAATCGAAAAGGCTAAATATGGAAGATTTTAAGATATCCCGACAAAGTATCGGAGTTTTTAAGGATAAAATTCATGTACTATTTCTTGGGCTGTTAATTGGTTGAGGACACTTTGCGCGATTGTAGCAGACGAAATCCCATGTGTAGATCAAAGTGCTGCAGCACTGAATGCGACGGACATGCAACCGGAGAGACATTAATTAAGGCTTCTTTTAGAAAAACAAAACAAAACAAAAACAAAACACAAAATATATAACAGAGAAAATTTGTTCCATACAAGTTCGAGATTTGTACAGCAATATATTTTGTGTCCCAAATTGATATAATTCAGATTTTCTACTTTCAAGCACTTAAATACAGAATGAAATTTATGCCTAAAAACTCTGGTCAAACTTGTAAATCAGTGTCCTTATCGATTTATTCTAAGAAATGATATGTAAATAGAAAAAAAACTATCAACGAAATATTTCTAGAATAAATCCAGGCAAATAAACTTCAAACATAATACATTATACATTTGAGAATGCTATTTAGAATTGCTTCGTGTTATATCATAGTGGGCATACAGACAATAAGATATAAGTCATTTGTATTTTTATTTCTCTTGGATATGTCTCATTAAAAAAAAAATTGGTTAAAATCATCAGCAATTAATAGTGTATTTCTTAGATTTTTTTTATTTACAAGGTAAAGATGTAGAGGCCAGAGCACATCGTTTTTATTTTAATTTAAATGTCACTTAAGCACTACAGTGTTTAGTTGTCCTTTTCAACTTCACACTAAATTCCATTTTCAACTTGTTTGCTTCTTACAATTGTATAGCATTTCTAAAAGTATTGCATTACAATCCGCTGGTTTATTAATTACATGTTTAATGTGTACTTCCTAATCGCCTGTCCAAAAATCAGAACAGGTGAAGCAGAATCTATTTTTAGAATAGCGAAGGTTAACTCATATCATGACCTAGTAAAATATGTAAACAAACCACAAGAATCGGATGTAGAACTGATATTATAACTTCCTTACCATGAAAGACTACATGGCGGTAAAGTGTCTTACATGCATTTTCAAAAATAGATATTTATACTAGCCATTGTACTGTATCTAATATATTAATAACTGCTGAATATTCAGCTAAACCCGCGGTATGAGTCACGAAAATAGTTCTTCTTTTATTAATGCGCGATTTATCCTAGTCACGAAAAACTTTTGATTTGTTAATAATAATGTTTTGTATAATGTAGATATATTTATTTCCTACTAATAATGTCTTGGAACTCAGAGGTTACACCTTTATTGAAGTATAATTTGCTGTCCTACTTTTTCGACAGCGGTAAATCGTTTCAGCAGTAATTTGCATATTGCGCAATAATACTACGGGACTACAACGTTTTTATCAACAATATACGTTCATATTTTAACTTGGATAACTTAATTTGAAATTGAAAAGGCTAAATATGGAAGACATTAAGATATCCAGACAAAGTATGGGAGTTTTGAAGGATCAAATTCATGTACTATTTCTTGGGCTGTTAATTGGTTTAGGACACATTGCGCGAGTGTAGCCAACGAAATCCCATGTGTAGATGACTTAGCTCTGAACGCGCCTGAGGGCGCGTCCGTCGCAATGACTTAGCTCTGAACGCGCCTGAGGGCGCGTCCGTCGCAAAAAGCACTATTTTTACTACAGTAACAGTATCTGGAAAAAAACCTCTTTACACTGCGCCATTAGAATAAGAACTATTTTTCACTACAGCATTAGGAAAGAAATTGTTTTTTACTACGACAAAAGGAAAAGGTGCACTTTCTTCTAAAACATTTGAACAAGAACTGCAGAAAATAATTATTTTCACTACAACATAAGGTAAAGCTTTATTTGTACTACAACATTAGACCGATTATTTTCGCTACATTATTAGAAAGGAAGTCTGCAGGGTAAACATTCTACATGTATTCGAATCAAAGAAAGGATATATCTCATGTGGGAAAGGTATCCAACTTGCTTAATTACAAAAGGTAACACATAGTTGTTTGAATTACATTAAATTAGACAAAAATTTATTTTCAGAGATTCATTTATTTCACAATAAACCAAGAAAATACCTTTCCAGATTATCTTGAATCCCTTACGCTGGCCGGATCCATCACTTACAAAGTGGATGTGTATTTTGTTACCTAGAAAATATATTTCCTCATTCAAAATACATACTTTGTCGAGGATCGGCATCATCGTGTTGTTGGAAATGTCTGTCATCTAAAAAACGTAACAGAATGCGAATATTTGTTTCTTGACAACACATGTGTGTGTTGTTGTTGCGACATGTAACGGTAATGGTGGTGATATTGGTAGTTTAGTCTCTGGATTACGGCTGTAAGCCACAATGAATTAACCAAAGCAACAGTTCAACCATCACAGTCGAGCCGTTTACTAGTACAAGCTGCCTTCGCTTTCAAAATAAACTGATAGATCCTGTACATGTATGTCTGAGCAGACGAATAGTGCGAATGACCGTAGAAAGGATTTCATGATCAAGTGAATCTGGGCTGTCCTGGAATCGGATTCACAGTCTCACATTCTACTTTTTGAGCTAACCGAACGTCTTCTTGAAAAAAGATTCCACCAGCAGAAAAAGTATTTATGCTTTATAACATTGCATGTTTTGTAACTATAATTATCATCGTACTGCCGTAACGATGGCCAGATTCAATTTATTGTAAACTTTAACTTCTATCAGGGAATGTAGTTCTGTAGTAGTAAGTATAGAATCTATTTTGTTAATTATAAAGGCATTTGACTGGTTATATGGGCTTACGAAAAAATCGGTTGTTGTTTTTATATAACCATCATCTAGTGGTTATATAAGGTGATGTCCGTTTATACTTGGTCATAACACATGTTTCTTTTTAATATCACAAATATCCCCGGGTAAAATAATACGACAGTACCAAAAACATGGAAAAAATGTTTCTTACACCTAACATGTTCTTATTAGTAATACACAGTACCCAGTTTTATGCACTTTCTAAACGCAAAACGTTTTAAAACGTTAAACGTGCACATTTTCATATTCTGAGAAAATATCAAGAATAAACCACCTACCGATATAAAATCAGGACATTTTATATCAAAGTGAAGGAAAATGAGCACTATGTCAGTGCCCTCTGTGTCGAGAATTGTCCATTCACAGTCACTGTTAGGTGGATTACGCATTTCTAGTATCATAATCAGGGAGGTAAAAATTCCCAGTAAGTTCAGTGTAGTTATCTCCACATGCCGTAACTGTATATCAATGAAAAAAGTACTATCTGAGATGACATTATTATTGTATTGTATTCTATTGCATCTCCTTCTGCTTTTTTCACTGTTATATATTGTACGACGAAAGGAAACGAGTTAACCTTGATTGATTGATTGATTGATTGATCGATCGATCGATTGATTTATTGATCAGGGAGCTTGTTATACGAGTTTATTGCCACAATCACAATTTCATAATATTTATGGAGAAACGACATGTATTTGATCTGGAAGTTACTTAATTTATGGAATTCGTATGACTAAATATCTCAAATTTGATAGCATTCATGTACTAAATGAAATCATTATTTCAAAACACTTACATATATATGCTAAAACAAAGCAAGTTTATTAAAAATGTCCCTTTGAAGTAATGTAAACAACAAAAAGATCTGAAAATTGTAGACTCGATTTGGTTGAGTCTGATCAAGAGGGGGTAATGGAAAATGTAACATCATTCACGCCCCCCTAACACCGTCTTAAGCGCTATTCAATCTTCAACACTAAATATGCTGGAAACAATGATCCCAAACTATCAGATAAAAACAACCTTAACCCGCTAAATTTCTTAAGTGGACTTGTAGATGTTGGAGATAACAGGATAAAAAATTAACATGATATCGGCTACCATAGAGCCTAGTCAAACTGGACATACACGCAAGCCTGCCTGGCTTTATACTGATGGCAAAGGCTAATCTCTTTATGATACAACATGGCAATCGTGATCCAGTTAAAAGGCTATCTCTTTATGATACAGCATGGCAATCGTGATCCAGTAAAAGGCTTATCTCTTTATGATACAACATGGCAATCGTGATCCAGTAAAAGGCTTATCTCTTAATGATACAGCATGGCAATCGTTGACCCAGTAAAAGGCTAATCTCTTTATGATACAGCATGGCAATCGTTATCAAGTAAAAGGCTTATCTCTTTTATGATACAGCATGGCAATCGTGATCCAGTAAAAGGCTAACTCTTATGATACAGCATGGCAGTCGTGATCCAGTAAAAAGCCTTATCTCATTATTATACGGCATGGCAATCGTGCTCCAGTAAAAGGCTAATCTCTTTATAAATACAGCAAGGCAATCGTGATCCAGTAAAAGGCTAACTCTTTATTGATACAACATGGCAATCGTGATCTAGTTAAATGCTAATCTCTTTATGATACAGCATATGGCAATCGTGATCCAGTTAAATGCTTATCTCTTTATTATACGGCATGGCAATCGTTATCAATTATAATGCTAATCTCTTTATGATACAGTATGGTAACGGTTAACCAGTAAAAGGTTTATCTCTTTATTTGATACAGCGTGGAAAATGGTTAACAGTAAAAGGCCAATCTCTTTAGTATATAGCATGGTAATGGTTAACCAGTGTAAGGCCAATCTCTTTATGATACAGCATGATAATGGTTAACCAGTAAAAAGGCTAATCTTCTTTATGCTACAGCTGTGGTTAACCAATAAAAGACTTGTCTCTTTATGATACAGCATGTTAATGGTAACCAGTGAAAAATCATTTTAATCGTTCAAAGTTTGCTGATATGCATAATATCTATAGTAATTCAATAACGTTGTATGTTATAACAATCAAAACAAAGAAATAATACATACCATAAGGCAAATTGAGCAGAAGACCCGTTATAATCTGGAAATGTAGAAATACAATTACTACATTTGTGTGTCCATTTTGTGATACATTGTACATGTATATTTATATAAGTTTGTAGACTTTTCAGTGAATTAAATCATTTTATATACGTGTATATTTTTTCTTGTGCTGTTAATAAAGTACTAGCAAACTGGCAATTAAGATTTCAGGTTTCGTCAAATCATATTGTTGGGCGCTCTGCAATACCGGACGGCGTTACTATTTCCCCCCGTCCCCCACTCAAAATAGCAGGTTTTATTAGTGGGGGGGGGTATCATGAAAGAGACGTCTTTGCAGCCAAACACAGTCTAAAGTTGACAGTATAGCAGCCTTATTATGTTCGCTCATAACATCTATGTTTACGAAAAATAAATAAATAAACAAAAAATACAAGCACATTGTCATTATAGTCTTATATTGATACATAAAAAGGGTTTAACAAAAATTAAGAAATATATAAGAAAACAATATAAAAGCCATTAAGTGCAACGCCACCAACTTAATCGACAATTTACAAAACTGTTCTTTTCATTTCGGTTCTTTGCATCACAGACGCTTGGGGTTTGGAGCTCAAAACGCCTTTAAAATCCAAATAAAATGCATATTTGTCAATCCCAGGACATGTACTGATCATATATATCAAAAAATCTTAATATATGCCGTTTTGAAAAAAAAATCATATTTCAACATCTATAATAATACACAAGATAAAAATGTTCGCCGGAAAAAATCCGCACCCCTACCGTCATAATCACCATGTATTTTAATCCATTTCCAATATTTTCACATAATCCTTTGGTCCATCGACACAGAAGATATAATTCTTCACGATGATGGTCAATTTTAAACTTCAACGGTAATATAAACAACGCAACAGCCGAAATAAACATCAATATTCTCGTCGTTTTTTTTCAACGACAAAAACTTTCGATAAATTCAATGGACCAGACGGCTATGAACGAAGCTATCGATTATGTGGTTCCCAAACTTAAAAGCGCTGCGCATTTGCACACGGCAAAGCTGGGGCCACATAATCGGATAGCTTCGTTCATAGCCGTCTGGTCCATTGAATTTATCGAAAGTTTTTGTCGTTGAAAAAAAACGGCCGAGAATATTAATGTTTATTTCGGCTGTTTGCGTTGTTTATATTACCGTTGAAGTTTAAAATTGACCATCATCGTGAAGAATTATATCTTCTGTGTCGATGGACCAAAGGATTATGTGAAAATATTGGAAATGGATTAAAATACATGGTGATTATGACGGTAGGGGTGCGGATTTTTTCCGGCGAACATTTTTATCTTGTGTATTATTATAGATGTTGAAATATGATTTTTTTTCAAAACGGCATATATTAAGATTTTTTGATATATATGATCAGTACATGTCCTGGGATTGACAAATATGCATTTTATTTGGATTTTAAAGGCGTTTTGAGCTCCAAACCCCAAGCGTCTGTGCTTTGCATAACTTTTTTTATCTAGATTTCAGACATTTATAAATATAGTTTTCTTTTTACGATATTGTAATTAGGGCAAAGTAAAACAAATGGTTCGAAATACTACTCGCGAGTAAAATCCGAATAAATATATTAACGTAATGTATTTATCTTTAAGTAATACATCAACATACAAAATAATATAAATATCGGAATAGATTAAATAAGCCTTGCAGCAGTTTCTCGCAAGTGATTGTTTGTTTTGATACGTTAATTGTGATTACTTTAAGTAACATCACATTTGCATAATGTTTTATATATCCTAATTAATTTCATCTAAAATATTCCCGTGCTTTTTCGATTTATATGATTAAATGATATTCTGGTTTATAAAAATGAAGGCAAAATTCGCCAAGGGCATGCAAAACTAAAAAAGGAAGATACGGGAAACAAAACAAATGTGACCCAGGGGATATGCTCACCGAACATTCAACCATTCTAACTGTTGAAACGGCGTGAATATTAATAAGAAAAATAAATAAATAAAAAGTGAAAATACGATAATGAATGCACGGATAGATTTGAAATTGAAAACAAAGCATAAACATTGTACGTTTTGTTTTTTCCCTTGGTAGTGAGGCATGGTCAACAATTTACAGGTTCAATTACTATGATATAAGATATTTATTGCAAAAATTATTTACTCTGATCTATAATTATCTACATAAAAAATTATGACAGAAACTGAAAATCATATTTTCAATGATTTCAATTTACTACGTGTATCAGTTTCCTATTGAACTTTACAAGTAGTTTATTACCTACTTCCTATGATTTCCTTTATTACTTTCAGCACTAAGCTGTGTACGTATATTCATATTTCCCGGTGTGACTTTTCTTTAAGTTCATGACTTTATACATGCGATATTTGATGGTTGCTTATGTTGTTGATTATACTCTTTAGCCGAAAAATTATCGCCATTGATATGACGACGAAAAAAGCGGCTTGTGACTTATCTAAATACCTTGTGTTTATCTAATATCAGTCGTAATGTACTAAATAGTTTGTTTACATTTCTTTATATTTTATTTTTAATATGGACCAAAAACCGTGGATAGAGTACAGCTAAGGTCATCACTACATATATGTTTTATGTCATTGGAAGACCACCGCACACCACACAGTCAAGACTTATATAATAATATTTTGAACAAAGCCGCGCTAACATCATCTTCAATTTGTTTTGCGTCAAAGGCATTTCTTTTATGTAATTACAAAACAGAAACGAATTCAGACGAATATTGTTTGTATGTTGTGAGCTGGTGCCTAGATCGAATTTTTATACTAAAGATATAACTGTAAAGTCTAAAAGCTGGTGCCTAGATCGAATTTTTATACTACAGATATAACTGTAAAGTCTAAAATACAGCAAATGGACGCATCTTACTATAGTTATAGGTCAACTATGCTTTAATTGAAACATTTTTTTTTTTATATCTTTGTGCTGTACAAACGCTTGGCTGTCAACCCCAACGTCTTCAAAAGATGTATAAAAATGACGAATGCATGGAGAACATGAAAACAGTTTAAATGGACCGTTAAATATATTTACCGCATTGTTTCCTATTCCTTTGTTACAGACTTCACAATCGTGCATTAAAATAAAGTATATTCTCTTATATACATTTGATATTTATAACATTCCAATTTATTCTAAAACAATTTCAAAGATAGTCAAATACGAGATTAAAAAAGACTAGGAAAAATTACCTTTAGTGCAATGTCCATTTTTGTGATACATTGTGTATATATTCGCGA